GCGGGGGGAGGGCGGGAGCGGCGGCGGGAGGGTGCGGGAGGGGAGGGCGCCCCCTGGGGGCCGGGCGGTGACGCCGTCTCTCCCGCAGCTCCTCCTGCCCGCCATGAGGAAGAAGGCGGCGGCGACGGGCGGCGGCGGGGACGGGGACGTGGTGCGGGAGCACTGGCTGGTGCGCGACATGTTCTCCTTCGAGAATGTGGGCTTCACCCGCGACGTGGGCAACGTCAAGTTCCTGGTGTGTGCCGACTGCGAGGCGGGGCCCATCGGCTGGCACTGCCTCGACGACAAGGACAGCTTCTACGTGGCGCTGGAGCGCGTGGCCCACGAGTGACGCTGGGCTGGGGTCGGGGGCGACGGTCCCGGGCACCCGCTTGGGGAACGGGGCTCAGCCACCGGGAACCCCGCCTGCCCCGCAGCCTGCCCCGCAGCCTGCCCGCCCGGGCAGTGATGCACCGAGCCGGGCCCACGGACTGACCCTGGCCCAGCCACCCCACGGCTTCCCTCACCACAGCCCGGCCACCGGACGGACCCTGGCCCAGCCTGCCCACAGCCCGGCTGGTCACCCCAGAGCCCAGATCCTCGGACTGACCAGCACCAAGAAGCGCGGCACCGGCAGCGCCAGCTCCTTGCACGATACCCCCCCAGGAAGGATGGCGGCAGCAGGAGGGTCCCCTGTCACCTGCAGGGGCAGCTCCCTGTGACAGTTCTGCCAAACAGCTTGATCTGCTGCTCTTGGTAGAAGCAGCCTCAGACCTTCCTGGCTGCTGTCGGTCACTTCTTCCCCGAGCAGCTGCTGTCTTTCACATGTGCCAAGGCATCTTCCAGGCTGCGTGACACGGCCGTGTAAATGGGGTGCTGGCACGAGGGCGGGACAGGACTGCTGCATCGCACCATCATGGTGGCTTAAATTGTCTGAACTATGGCCAAAGCAGTTACAAGGTTTTAGGCTGCATCTTCTGTTGATTTTTCAGAAGAAATGTTCCCTGCCCCACACCCTAACATTTAGGTTCTCTAAAACCTCATCCTACTTGACAAGTGTAACCTGTAAGAGTATATGGCACCTCAAGCGTGTGTAAGGCATTTTATATAACACTGTATGCAGTTTTATTAACAGAATACTTAGAAATAAAATAAGGTAGATTTTGCAGACAGCATAGGCTGATAGAATGGCAAAAAAAGAAAATGTGTGAGACTGTAGTATTTCCAGAACGAAGACATTCCAACCTGTAAAGGATTTGAGTCACTGGACATGTGTCTCAGTGCTGCAGAGTGTCAAAACAACTATGTCTGTATCAGAGAACTCAGGAAGGAATTTATCTTCTGTAAATGCAGCCGGCAGGATACGCTGGGATATTGTGTCCAGTTTTGATCTCTGCCTTTTAAAAGGTGGGGACAAAGCGGACTGACAATTGAAGGAGGCTGCAGGAGCCGTGGTTCTCACTGTATTTATCTTTTGGTAATTGTGGTCCAGTTCACATTCTCCATTTGCAAACCCCTGTATGAATAATACAGCAGCTTTAGAGGGATGGTCACAGAGGATGCCTTGCTGTGGGAGATGTATGGGTATGCTAATAAATGCTAATAAACACGTTTGGTACCAATGCAGCTGTACAGGCACAACTGTCATTGCGCTGGGATGATGACGTTGTACTTGCCACCAAAATCAAGGTCGGTTGTATTTAAAGATTAGCAATGTTGGTGGAGGCGCCCTGACAGGAAGTGGGGGAGAAACAAGTCCTTTCTTCTTCCAGTGCCTGAACACCTGCATTTTTAGGATTTGGAGACTCTGCCCTAATGTAGAACAACCAGGCTGGTGGCTGTTCTGGGGCTGCGCTTTCAGAAACCTCTGCTGGGGACAGTCAAGGTTCATGAATGGGAGGGCAAGAGGCAGTAACTCCATAGTCTGTGATTAAGGCTCTTGCTTGGGTAGAAGGTGAGTCTTGTGCTGTGTCCTTGCTAAATATGGCAGGTGCACATTTGACATGAAAATTTCTTTCCTCCTGCCCTTCTTGTTCAGACCCTAAACCCAGTGATTGAACAGGTTCATCAAGGAAGTGTGCCTAGAAGGGCAGGAGAACTTCATTTGGGTTCTGCACAGGGACAAAGAAATAGTGGGATCGCGTGACTTTAATTCCACACTTTCACTTAGATTGTTGTCTGTTGGGCAATGCTCTGGGAGGGCAAGAGGCAGTAACTCCATAGTCTGTGATTAAGGCTCTTGCTTGGGTAGAAGGTGAGTCTTGTGCTGTGTCCTTGCTAAATATGGCAGGTGCACATTTGACATGAAAATTTCTTTCCTCCTGCCCTTCTTGTTCAGACCCTAAACCCAGTGATTGAACAGGTTCATCAAGGAAGTGTGCCTAGAAGGGCAGGAGAACTTCATTTGGGTTCTGCACAGGGACAAAGAAATAGTGGGATCGCGTGACTTTAATTCCACACTTTCACTTAGATTGTTGTCTGTTGGGCAATGTGTTTTGACCTGTAATACCTAGATGATAGTCCATGTTACTAAAGTATAAAATGTGTTGCACAATAGTTTCATTTTGAAGCCACCACTGTGCAGAACAGGCTTGTGGATATCAGCTTGATTAATGCCAAGTAAATAACACTTCTCAAAAAAATGGTACCTGTGGATTCCTGATATTGAGGAGTATTTGGTGGGTGGCACTGGGACAGAGTGGGGGTGGTGGCAGAAGCTCTTCCTGGTGAGTAGAACCCTTCCTGGAGAGATGGGAGACCTGGGGCCAAAGGCTGCCTTCACCTCAGCACTGCAGCAGTTTGGAGCCACTTCAGTGTGGTGTTGCTCGGTGACGGTGAGTAATGAAAGCTCCTGCTGCCCTTCGGTGTGAGAACGATGTGCTGAATGGCAGCATCATCCACAGCATCCAGGTTTGATTCCTGCTGACTCTTAAATATGGAGTAGGATCACAGATATTGTGGAAATGCCAAGAAGAAATGTACAGTCTGATAGGAATTCATGGGAGGAAACTGTTGTAGTTTCTTGGGATCTTTCAAGGTAGGATCTTGGCTTCCTGCAGCTTGGAGATGCTGTGAGATAACGCCCTTGAAGTCCAGGTAGCACAGGCAGGACGCAGTGCTGGTGAAGGTACCGCTGTGCAGTAGAGCAGTTCCACTGTTGATGTCCAGGAGCATCTGGGTAGCTCTGGGGTGACAGTGTACCCTGAGAGCTGAAGTGAGAATGAAGGGTAGATGAAAAAAATAAAAATAAAGATAATGGTGAAGGTGGAAAAGCTGCATCACTCCGTGGAATTTGAGCCCAGGCAATTCCACTGTGACATTAACTGAGCTTTAGAGGAAGAATGTCTGCAGTCAGCAAACCTCTGCTCAGGGAAAAGGTCTGCCCTGTTTATGCGACAGACAGCAACGTCAGGTTTGGGGGCATCTAATGAAGCACTGATGAGTTTTTGTGTTAATGAGAGCTCACAAATATGGATAGTCTCACAAATAAACATAATCTTTTCACTGCTTTATATCTAGCATGTTGAAAAACTCTTTTCCAGCTGCCTGCAGGAACTTGTAGGAAAAGGATAGGCAAGAGCCGACTTTCAGGTACGGGAACTGCTTCCATAGCACCTGTCAATGCTCATCTCACCACCCATCTTTATAATCAACAAGACAGACCAGGAACCCTTATTTCCACATGCAGGTCACTTTTAAATTAATTTGAAAATGATTCTTCTACATAAATAGCTGCATAGGCTTAGAAAAAGGAAGACTAGGGAAAATGTAGGGCCACTGATGAATGAGATGGACTCCTAGTGGTGGAAGACACAGAGAAGGCAGAGTTACTGAATGTCTTCTTTTCTTTGGTCTTCACTGCTAAAGCTATCCCTTGTGAATCCCAGACCCTGGAGGCAAGGGGGGAATCTTCCTCTCTTCCTGGAGAGAGGAAAATTTTCCCTCAGTAGAGGAGGCTCGGGTTAGAGATCACTTGGCCAAACTGGACATCTGTAAGTCCATGGGCCCTGACGGGATGCACCTGCAAGTGCTGAGAGAACTGGCAGATGTTATTTCTGGGCCACTCTCCATCATCTTTGAGAGGTCATGGAGAACAGGAGAGGTGCCTGAAGACTGGAGGAAGGCCAATATCACTCCAATCTTCAAAAAGGGCAAGAAGGAGGACCCAGGGAACTACAGGCCAGTTAATCTCTCCTCCATCCCTGGGAAGGTAATGGAGCAACTCGTTCTGGATGTCATCGCCAAACACGTTGAAGAACAGAAAGTTATTGGAAGTGGTCAACACAGATTTACCAAGGATAAATCGTGCTTGACCAACCCGATAGCCTTCTATGATGTCATAACTGGATGGCTGGATGAGGGGAGAGCAGCAGATGTCATCTACCTTGACTTCAGCAAGGCTTCTGACACTGTCTCCCGTAACATCCTCATTAGGAAACTGAGGAAGTGTGGGCTGGATGAGGGGACGGTGAGGTGGACTGAGGGCTGGCTGTGTGACAGAACTCAGAGGATTATGATTAATGGAGCAGGGTCAAGTTGGAGGCCCATAACCAGTGGTGTACCCCAGGGGTCAAAACTGGGCAGAGAAGAACCTCATGAAGTTCAACAAGGGCTAGTGTAGGGTCCTGCACCTGGGGAAGAGGAATGCCAGGCACCAATATAGGTTAGGGATGGACCTGCTGGGAAGCAGTTTTGAGGAGAAGGATCTGGGGGTCCTGGTAGATAGTAAATTATCCATGAGCCAGCAATGTGCCCTGGTCGCCAAGAGGGCCAATGGAATCCTGGGCTGCGTAGGAAAGAGTGTGGCCAGTAGGTCGAGGGAGGTCATTCTCCCCCTCTGCTCTGCACTGGTGAGGCCACAACTGGGATACTATGTCCAGGTCTGGGCTCCCCAGTTCACAGAATCACACAATCTCCTAGGTTGGAAGGGACCTTAAAGATCATCTTGTCCAACCGTCAACCTAATTTTGACAAAAATAAACACCCACACAACAAACAAAAAGCAACACCATCACTAACCCACATCTCCCAGCACTACATCAACCCCTCTTTTGAACACCTCCAGGGATGGTGCCTCAACCACCTCCCTGGGCAGCCCATTCCAATGTCTGATAACCCTTTCAGTGAAAAAATTTTTCCTAATATCCAGCCTGAACCTCCCCTGGCGTAACTTGAGGCCATTTCCTCTCGTCCTGTCGCCTGTGACTTGGGAGAAGAGACTGACCCCCACCTCTCTACACCCTCCTTTCAGTGAGTTGTAGAGAGAAAGAAGGTCTCCCCTCAGCCTCCTCTTCTCCAGGCTGAATAACCCCCGCTCCCTCAGCTTCTCTTCCTAAGACTTGTGCTCCAGACCCCTCACCATCTTTGTTGCTCTTCTCTGGACCCACTCCAGCACCTCAATGTCTTTTTTATGGTAGGGAGCCCAAAACTAGACACAGTACTCAAGGTGGGGCCTCACCAGTGCCCAGTACAGGGGGTATGGTCACCTCCCAAGTCCTACTCGCCACGCTGCTCCTGATCCAGGCCAGGATGCTGTTGGCCTTCTTGGCCACCTGGGCACACTGCTGGCTCATGTTCAGCCGACAGTCAACCAACACCCCCAGGTCCTTCAAGAGTGACAGAGAACTACTGGAGAGAGTCCAGTGTAGGGCAACAAAGTTGATGGGGGGATTGGAGCATCTCCCTGGTTAGGAAAGGCTGATAGGGCGGGGGCTCTTTAGCCTGGACAAGAGAAGGCTGAAGGGAGTCCTTCTTAATGCTGAAAGGGACCTGAATTTAGGGTGGGTTGAAGGAGGAAGGACCCGGACTCTTTTCAGTGGTTCCCAGTGACAGGACGAGGGGCAACGGGCACAAGCTGGAACATGGGAAGGTCCACTCCAATCTGAGGAAGAACTTGTTTGGGGTGAGGGTGGCAGAGCCCTGGCAGAGGCTGCCCAGGGAGGGTGTGGAGTCCCCTTCTCTGGAGATCTTCAAGCCCCCCTGGATGCTCCGGTGTGATGTGCTCTGGCCAACCCTGCTTTGGCAGGGGAGTTGGACTGGATGGTCTCTAGAGGTCCCTTCCAACTCTGACAATTCTGTGATTCCGTGACTTTAGTCCCAAGACCCATTATGTGTTAGGCTGTAGCTGCCAAGAGAGGGAGCAATAATAACAATATAACAATAATAACCTGCGCTCCTTGCATTGGCCGATCCTGCCAGGAAGGACTGTGCACAGCGGGACGCAAAACCTCTGGCACTTGGGACCTTCCCTTGGTGCTGCTTTTGAGTGGGTACAAATAATATCAATTTTGTCTAATTGCTTCCCAATCTGGATTTAAGGTATTGGTTAGGTGTTTATATGCCATAAATATAAATGTATTTAGGATGGGTAAAAACAGATACTGTGCCACTGACTCACGTATTGAGACTGGTTCACAGCCCTAAAACCAGGGTCTGGGCTGAGGCTCACATTGACACCTTGTAGCTTCACTTCTCTGCTCTCTTTCCCACCCAAACCACTCCCTCAGGGCAGCTGCTGACGCTGTTTCAGTTTGCCAACTTGGTCTAAAGCTACCCACTTCTTTTCTTGGGTTGAAACATGGGAGTTTGAGCTCTGCAGCTCGCATGAGACACTCAGGAGGCA